GTAAAGGCGCTGATGACGGGGCCCCGCTCGGTGACCGCACCGCCACCCGCCTCGCCGCCAACGTCAGCACCACCACCGCCAGTACCGCCGCCATCGACGCGGCCGGCGCCAATGGCACCGCCGAAAGAGGAGCCGCCGCGCGCCCGCGGCCGCGGAGGTGAAACTGCCTCCGCCGCGGCCGGCATCGCCGGCTGCACCGTCACATCCAGCGTCCCGACGGGATGCATATCGGAGTCGGCGACAGTCGGGGCGGGCGGCGGCGGCTGCGGCGGGACGGCGGCAGTGGGCTGGGGGCTGTCGTCTGCAGGGCTGCTCTGCGGTGGAGGCGAGGCGCTGAATAGAGGTGTACGGCGTGACACGGCTGGCCGTTTGCTGACGTCAACGATACCGGTGCCAGGTAGAGGGCCCACGCCTCCATCCGCCGCCAAAGCCGCGGCAGAAGGCGCTCCCACTCTCGCCACCGCCGCTGCCGCGGCGCGATCCAGCATGATTTGGTTCAGTACGACACGCGGCGGCAGTCTGGATGGTGGCGGCGGCGACGACGCCAGGTTGCTCGTCCCAGCGGCGCCGCCGTCATCAAAGTCACGCGATATGGCCACCCGGAAGTTGGGCCTGGGCCCCCGCCGCAAGATGACGTAGCTGAAGCGCTCATCCTGCGGGCGGCCCTCCCGTACACACGAGGAGGAACAGGAGGACGAGCACCAAAGGGTTGTGAGTTTGTGGAGGGGGGACCGGGGGCGAATGATATGCAAGCAACCAGAAGTGAGCTGCCGGCGTGGGGGAGGTCGTGGTGGGGAGTGCTCGTGTTGTCAGGTGAGTGAGCCGTAGTCCCTCTACCCTCGCGGGTGGGCCGTCTGGGGCCAGCCGCAGATCCGGACCGAGTGGATCTTGGATCCCGGGTGGGGAAGGGTGGGGTGGGGTGGGGTGGGGTGGTGGAGGGAAGGGGAAGTACGTCCGTCTGCAAATGCGCAGGGGGCCCAGCGGGTCCCTACCGCCCTGTCAGCCAATTTCAAGCTCAAAAGGATGCCAGCCATGGAAACGGGGCGATACAGCATCCAGGAATCAAACCAGGGAGGGGTGAGTTCTGAGGACATCGGCAGGAGGCACTAACCCGTCACGTCAGGAGATCGTGGGCCCCCGCCCCCACTGCCGGCGGGGCGGCACAAGTACTTGGCGCTGTGGCCAATGTGAACACCCCCCCCAGGAGCAGGAGGAGCAGGAGGAGCAGGAGGAGCAGGAGGAGCAGGAGGAGGAGCTACCGCAAAGCTGCCAAGACCAACAGCACCAACAGCATCAATAGCACCAAGATAGACCGACTGGAACGACTCCGAAATGATCCCCCCTAGGCTATCCAGCCATAGACGATCCCGGAGTCGCCGTCCTCACACTGAGGCGGGGTAGCGGAAGCCGGTAGGCCCAGGGGGTAAATGAGCCACTGTACGGCACAGCCGTTACACAGATAAGCAACGGATGATGGAAGCAGATTAACGGTATTAGCGGTCTGCCGGGGGCCGTATCTTTATACCCCCTCCCCCCGCAGCCACACACGCACTTGCACGTTGAGTGCTCTATTGCGGCCGAGCGCCTTGCCGCCCGGGGGTGCCATGGCTCTCTGCATGAAGGCCGGCAGCTGCAGCGACTGACTGAAGTGACACCAGTGGCGCTTGCTTCCCTGCGTACATAAGACATGCATACATACGTACAAACACATGGGTGATTCTCGTCTAGGGACGTTGGCTCGTCCCCCTTTCTCCTAGGTTGAGCTCTTCCTTTCCTGACCCTTCAGTTGTCGAGTGGAACGAGGTAATGGCGGCACCTGCTGGGTCGTACGTATGCATGTATGCATCATCACCCCGATGTACCCCCCACACCTCCACATACAAAGTCAGCACACAGCATGCAGGATCCCACAACCCCCCAACCCCGCCGCCGCCTCAAAGTTGTTGAGTGTTAGCCCACCCCTGCCCCCGCCCCCGCCCCCGCCCGCACCCCTGCCCCCGCCCCCGCCCCCGCCCCTGCCCCCTTGGAAAGAGACCCCGGGTCGGTGCTCACGTTGAACCCAATCTCCATTCCAGATCCGCAAGTACCACACCGTCCTAATACAATAAGTTCCATCACGCTCCTAACCTCGTGACCCAGGGGAAGTCCGCCACCTCCCCTCACCACCACTACCTGCATCGGGCAGATACCGTCGTGCGGACACGGAGCAACCACGTGCGCGCCCGCGCTCCGAAGCTTGATAGCGACCCGCGGGTCGGTCCCTCCTCCACCGTGGCTCGGTAGCCGGTGTTGCCCCGACCCTGACTTTGAACCGCCCGAGGTGGCGCCAGCGGCGGCTTCCAGCTGCGCGCGCTTCCGGCCCTGGCCAAGGGACCGTGTGTGCGCGTGTGTGTATGTGGAGGGGGGGGGAATCGGGGGGGACATTAGAGAGCAAGAACGCGTAAGCACCGGCTGCCGGTATCAACTGGTCGTGAGTGAGTCGGGGGAATAAATACGTGTGTGAAGGGTGTCCCCACAGCCGGTATGAGGCGGTCCAGTTGGGTTGCTAGGTCGGTCTGTGCCGACGCACAGCCGAGCGGTCCTCCACATGCCGTCTTGTTCCTTGGGCAGCTAACAAAGGGGCCAACAAGACGCGACGCACAGCGACACCCAAACCAGATGCGGGGCAAGGTGATGAGCGCATGACGGGCAATATGGCCCCGCACACGGTGCGCTATCAAGGAGGCCACTTGCTCATGTACCACCCCCTCATGTGCACGACGTCACACACGTCCTGCTAAGTGGCTCCGCCCAGCTCCTCGAAACACACACGTGCTTGTTGTTCCCCGCCCCACACCCGCACCTCCCGCCCCAGCAGCAGCTCCCGCGCCTCCGCTAAGGCCGCAAAGCCGCGGGGGGTCCCCGGCTCCACCAGCACCAGCACATCACCGCACCTGAGGGGTAGGAACCAGGCAGCGAAGGGGCTGAGGTGGGGTGGGGTGGGGTGGGGAGTGATGTGGGGTGGGGAGTGAGGTGGGCTGAGGTGGGGAGTGATGTGGGTTGATGTGGGGTGGGGTGGGGAGTGAGGTGCGGTGGAGTGGGGGATATAGATATACATAGGTATTAACATGGGAAGTGTGGAGGCGGTGTGGGAAGCGGTCCACCCAGCGCTTTACCCGAAAGAGTGGGGTAGGCAAGGCGGGGGAGTGTTGAGCGATCAATGTACGACTATAGGGAATATGCGGGGTCGGTGTACTGTGCATGGCGGGAGCTCGGGGTCGCACGGAAAGGGAAGGAGGAGCACCGAGGTAGGGCGCAGGGCGTGGCGGGCCCCATGCGTGTCCCCTGGACAGCCATTTCTCACCCCAGAGTACGCACACACACACACACACACCCTCGGTATACGACATAAACAGACATACACACATATACACGTAGGGCTCTATGACGCCTCGGACTGCGACAGCTCGGCATGGGCTATGCAGCTGGTTTTGGATTTCCGGCAGCTTCCCATTCGAGCCGCTGGAGGGGGGGGCCGCTCAGCGACAGATAACTCCGAGTCAGGCTACCGTCACCACCATACGGCACAAAGGGGTATGTGGGCACATGCGGCGGTAGGTGGGCCGCACACACGGGCATTATTACTCCAGGAAGGAAGTGCACGGAAGGTCCACAGCGCGCATACACACGTATATCATCATTGCGACTACGCGCACATAAGTAAATAAATGTGAAGGTGTTAGCCGCGACGCGGGTGTGGCACTTCGCGCGCCAGCTCCCCGTCGGAAGGTCTTCCTTCCCTGGACTCGAACCCCGCTTGCTCGTCGGCATGGTCTTCTCTCCCACTTAGGACCCCACCCCCGCCCGGTGCTTGCCTCCCCTTACCGCACCTGTCCCACAGCTCCCGAACCAGACGCTCTCGCTCCTCGACCGTTGGCAGTACAGTAAGTTGATAAGGCGCGATGACCAAGTCGTACCTGCTTCCCCCAAGGGATACACACAATCACACATTAACACGGTGTCACGGGCGGCCCGACCCCGACCCCGTCCCCCGCCCGCAGAGGACTCTATTACCCGCAGGCCCCCCAGTGGGCCCCCCAGTGGGTGAACGTAACCACCGACGTAGGACCGTTTGCGCTGGTCGGCAGGCCATTGAGCTACTTAAGCCTTTCCGTACAGTTGCCACTACACACACTGTAACTCGTTACATCCTCCACCCTTCAACACATGACCCAAGTCTTAATGTCCGCTGTCTAAAGCCCCATCGGCATCAGTATCACTATCAGTATCAGCAGCACCACCCGGTGTAACACCCCCCCCGTACGTAACAGGTAGCATTGCTGAGCCCCGTGCCCGACGCTGTCTGTCTCCTGTGGCCGCCTCACAACGGGACGACTTTAACCATATCGGTCTCGTCACATCTGGAGGGTAACCCCGCACCGCACCTTCACAGACCCGTAACCCCGGGTCAAACAGCGCCTGAGCCCCCCCCCCGGGGGGTGCACCCCGGCTGCCGTACCTCCTGCGCTGCGCACCCGCGGCCTTGGTCAGGGGCGGCAACGTCTGCACCCAGCTGACCACTGGCCCCGCCGGTAGCTGCTGCCTGCCTGACATTCCCCTCCCCCTTGCCGCCCGGTCTTCAGACCCAGAATCGGCGGCCCCAGCTACCGCCCGGCTGCGTGGAGCACCATCTCCTCCTCCTCCAGCCTGCTGCTGCTCCTGCTGTTGATGTGTTAACGACACCTCATCACGATCACTCAGTACATGCTGCTGCTGTTGCTGCTGTTTCGCCCGGTACGCTCGCTCCACTCGAGCCCCCAGCACCTGGCGCAGGTGACTGGGCTCCAGGGCCACCAGCCGCAAGAGGGAGCGACTGGTCGCGAAAGCCTGTCCGGGTAGGTGCAGTCAGACAGACAGCCGGGGAGGGAGGGAGGGAGGCAGGGAGGGAGGGTGGCAGGGGGGAAGACGATCCACAAACGCGAGAAACTGATGCCGAGGATAGACTGATACGCCAGATGCTAAGTAAGCACAACCAACCAGTCAGCGGTTGTGAAGGAGAAGTCCTCGCGATGATGTAGTGATGACGACGGCGAAAATTACCTACCTAGCAGCGAAGACTAAAACAAAATGCGGAAAGAAAGCAGAAAAAAATCTCCGTAGTATTCCGAAGGTAAGTGCGAAGGCGGCGAAGAGCAATCAGCTGACGTGAGTTGAGAGAAAAAGAGGTGATGTGAGGCAGGGATGGAGGCAGGGAGGGATACACAGGCGAAACAAGTAAGCATTTGCGCAAAATCAAACCGTACAAGTGTGAAGCATGGCGGCAGGTGCCGGCGCGGCAGGTGGCGCAAAGCTAGTCGAACGGTAAAGGGCAGCCCGAGATGTGGTCATCCTCCACCGGCCATCATGGTCCCTGCGGGCTGGCGGAGGTAACCAGTGGCACCGCGCAAGCCCGCCATGGGTGGGCTGCGCTCATTGCGGCAGTGCGGCACACATGACACAGCACCCATGTCGACCCGTGTTGCAACTCCGCAAATCCGTGTAAACGTACCCAGCACCTACCGTAGTGCCCCATCGTAGGCGTCACAGCCCTTTACAGCCCCGCCAGCCCCACCCTAACCCACCAACCCTTCATGCACGATACCCTCTTAATCAGCGGGTTAAACGTTCCACACGGGACACCGGCGTTCACATTCTGGTCAAGTCCACTGCTTCTCCTGCCCAAATCCTACCTCCAATCCCTCAGCCTCTCCGTCCCACCACCGGCCCGCCCAGTTACCCATCCGCCTAACTACGCACCTCCAACGTTGCCACCACCGCCGCACCGACGCCCGCGCCGTGCACCAGCACCTCCCGCGGCCGCCACTCAACCGCCGCCGCGCCAGGCAGCGCCCCTGCCGCCTCCAGCAGCCGCACCGCCTCATGCAGCACGCGGCGACACACCGCGTACTCGGGCGCCAGGCGAGCCACCACGTAGGCCAGGATCTGCGGAAAAGGCGGGAAGAGATCGCGAGGAGGTGTCGGCATGGCCGCGTTCTGGTGCGGTACGTGCACTGCGGCGTAGCTGCCCCGACCCGGCGGCTGAGACGGAGGACGTGTGCGAACGAACACCGCCAAGTGTCAACCCACCATCCCCACACACGACTCTACACTCCACTTCTTCACTCTACTTCTTCACTCTACTTCTACACTCTACTTCTTCACTCTACTTCTTCACTCTACTTCTACACTCTACAGCAGGACAGGGCCTGCAACACGTGCAACCTGAAACCCACCAGGCACTACCCACGCACCTCGGGCTCGGTCTTGTACTTGGGAGCAATCTTCTGCATCTGCGGGGCTGCAGTGGTAAGGCCAGGTTCAATAAAAGTAGCGGCAGCCGTGTCAGGGGCCCCGCCATCAGCGCCGGGACATCAGCCGCATGTCGGCATAGAGGGCGTTTCTCCGCGCTGGGGGGAGTTCGCAAACAGGATAACGGATAACGGATAACGAGCAAACATTGCAGGCGCGGATTACGGAGGGCCGGCGGGGGTGCGGCTGTGCGCGGGCGGTTCAATGTGTGCGACCAACGCAGTGACGGGGGGTGCAGGTACGCATCAGTGAGTCAGCGACCTAACGCCGCATGCGAGCAACATTAACGCAACGGCGCAGCTGCTGGACATGGAAAGGTTGCATTGATTGCCCCGAGTCAACCCCAGGCCAGCCGGCCAGCCAGCCTACTCGTGGCAGTCGGTCTTTGTGGCGGAAGAGGGACAAGGGGGCACTGCCCTGTTATCAGCGGAACCCGTCACCGGCCTGCCACCTCCTGCCGCATTGCGACCTCCGAAAAGGACTTGGCCAAACGTCTCCTCGGCGACCTGCGCCATGCCCACACGCCGCCCCGCACTATCCTCCTCCCCCTCCTCCTCCTCCCCCTGCGCAACACGTTCCCCCTGTGTGGAAGAGCCCCTACCAGGAGCCCTTCCCTCGGAGGCAGCCCCCTCAAATACCCCACGCAGCACATTACCATGTCGCTCATCGCCGCGCAGCGGTGGCGGCAGGCCCAAGGCCGCATTCACTGCCCGCTCATCCATTAAGAGGATCTGGCCCGCCTCGAGCGCCTCACGGGCCGCCAGCAGCTCAGGGCCCCGCAGCCGGCCACCACGAGGCGGCAGCGGCTCCGTGCTGCTTGGGGGCCCAAAGCCGCCGCGCTGGGGCGTGTGGCTGAGCGACTGCGGAAAGCCGTTAGAAGTTGAACGGTAAGGTTGAGGGGTCGGGAAACACGACTTGGGTCATTGAGAGTCCGCGGCTGTATGCGTGGCGAGGGTAGGCGGGGTTCTCGGCGACGTGTGAGTCGACCCTAGGGTTGATGCCCGGGTGGGGCCGATTAGCCCAGGTGCGTGTGCGCGACGATGTCAAGTGCATGTATAGGTGCAATCAGTAATTCTGGTTGGTGCGGGTTTTCCTGCAATCCTTCCTTTCCAACTTTGCTCTGCAGAGGAGCCACACAATAACACCTCCTCACCGTTGGGACAGCAAGGCGAACCCATCCCCAGTCCCCTGGGCGCTAACAGCTGAGATGCGTTATATATATGCGTTGTATACATGGCTTGCCGCTTCGGTGGGTTAATTACCTTTAGACGCTCTGCCAGCTCCTGACCCAGCCGCCGCGCATCCCGCGGCTTCAGCCCACGCTCTATGGGGCCCGAATTGCACATACGGAATACTCTGAGAGAATTTTCTGGTGAGCTCTCTAGCAAGGGGGACTTCCTTGTGTGGTAATGTAATGAGCGCGGCGCAAGCTGTACGCCGTCCCGCGGGTCCTTATCACCATGCACTAGCAAAGGATGACCTGACCACTCCTCTCCAGCAGCCCAAGTGCAGTCAAAATCCATGTATGTGCAATGAGGGGTTCAGGAATGTGCGGTGCGGAACCCGTGCTGCGATGTGTTAAATTGTGGCCGCTCTTACCGGCGAGGACCTCCTCCAATTCAGACTCAAAGGGAGTTGGTAGCTGCAGTAATGGCATGCTGCGCCTAGCTGCAGCTGTTGCAGCCTTAGCTGACACCTCAGGCTACGATTAAGTAGGGGGTTTGCAGGCGGACGATGGGGTTTGGGAAGGAAGATGACAGAACGAGGTTGGGAGACCCGCGACGCGTGGTCTCCACGGAACCTGTCCCTATAATATGGCATAATTATTAAACTACAGACTTCTGACGCTCTAAAATCACAAGATGACGACGACAAAGCCGTTCACAGGAGGACCATTGGTAAGCTCACGTCCCGGCAACCCACCAGAGCAGCGGAAAAACCATGCACTCGACGGAACCATTGCAAAAGCGAAAATGCTGCATCATGGGAACTGTATGCAAGATGACGGCTCCAGGCCACCAAAGACAAGAAGGCAGCAGACATAGAACCCCTTTTCTATCAGTTATGCATAGATTTACTATGTCAGAAGCAAGACATTAATGGAGAGTAGACATGCGCATGCTACGGATTGGCATGCTGCGCGTGAGCTGCGCCATCCGTACGGCATTACGCGCGAGGAGAAACATCGCATCCTAATTGGCATCCTGTTCCACTAAAGCGCTTAGACTATTAGACGTTTATAGATGTACAGATGTATGTTTAGCATAAGCATCAGTGATCCTTGCTATTTATAACGTATACTAAGTGCCCACATCTTTCGGGAGAGCACCGTGGTGAAAAGGTGGCGACAGCCTAAGCTTCATTCTACAGCTGCTTCCTACCATAGCATTTAAAAATGAACGCGCAACAATTGTCCCTGAAGCCTATTGGGCAGGGCAGCGGGCTCAGGTCTCCTGCCCTGCTTTTAGAAACGCCCCCGCCCGGAACCGGCGCAAGCCTTCGCCAAAGGCTACTTCCAGCCGGGCATACCAATGGTAGCCTCAACCTTCCGCCTACAGGGAACGCGGGGGCGGTCCTGGAGCACCTGAAGCGTCTTAGCGGTGAGACTTGGACTTCCTATTAGTTGTACCCTGTAAGTTTGCGAGCGCCGGTTGGCTGGATAAATCAAGGAATATTACTTATTTTGAAGAATAAAGCTATAAATCTTGATCCTGTGCATTGGAACACTACAAAATTTTCTTTTTTTGCTGAAACACAGTCCACGCTGCTTATACAGATCGGATGACGGAGGAGAATGAGAATACACGTCAGGACGTCACAACATATGTAAGGACCCCGCTCTAACTTGCGGCTCGTAAGCACATGACGGCATGGCGTTGTCGATGTCGCATCACTCGACAGCATAGGGCAAGACATGAGTCTGAACGGCACGGTGTGGGCAGGTTTAAGCTGTAATTATTAACACCACCTTGACCCAGATTATAATGTCGATTGCATCCCTCCGTCGCTCCGTGCTTGTGTGCGGTACGGTGGATAGGCGCGGCGGCACGCACTAGGAGACGATGCGATCACACCCAAAGTATCTGCAGGCCGCGAGAATTAAGTGTGATGGTGAAGATCAATAATCCTCCTACTTTCTACATGTCATGCTATATGCACTCGCAGCGCGAGAAGCTTGCGGAGGTCCAGGCGGCACTGGCTCGCAAGGAGCAGGAATTGGCCCGCGAACGGCAAGAAAACGTTGTGCTACGCGCCAAGGCCAAAGACGGTACGCGCGTTCTCTGAGCATAAAAGTCTTGCCCTTCGGACGGTCGAGGCATACCAGGGCAGTACCACACAGCATTAAATCCAAAGACGATTCATATTTCTAATCAGTGCCGGAAAGGCGACAACGATAATCCTAATTGAAATTTGGTTACACGGATTTCAGATTGTAGCGAGTATTCGAAACGACGTGTATGACCTCGTTCAGTTGCCCACGCACGGCGCGCAGTGGTTACGGCAGAAGCTTCCACGGATAGGGCCCATGATATAATTTCCCAATGGCCACGTGTGGTTGCTGCTCCGTACGTACCTCTGGACATCTGGCTGTGCATCTGATACGCAGATGAGGCTCAAGTGAACTACGTTATCGAAAAGATGAAGGTCGTGACGGCGATTCAGGACAGCATCCGGAACTCCATCGAGGGCACTAAGTATGACATTGGCCGAGGTACGCAGCTCTGGATGAAGGGACGCACCACAGATGTAGCTGTACACACGCTGAACACTAGGTGGCAAAGAATGTCTGTAAGTGCGCCGTAATCAAAACGTCGACGGCATGCTGGTGAATCATAAGAGCATCTTGTGTACTGCGGCCGTACTGTGGCCAACTGCTCCGTATTTCTCCCATGTAGTACGTTTTACCTCATGGGCATTCTGCTCCCCCATTCTGCTCCCCTACTGCCATTTGCGATGGTGCTTCAACGTTGTTTCGTGCCATTAACGAAGTCGATCAATACCGTCGCGACCTGGATGTCAAGGCGCTCGGACAAGACCGCGATATTGGCGACGCACAAATGGCGGCGCACGCTGTAACGGCGGCTAGAGACCAGCTAGCGGCTGAACTTCGGCGAGGTGCGTGGCCGTACATTGCAGGGCTCGGGTTATACCTACCATCCCAATTCACATGGTTATCAGTCTCTCCAACAGAGAGGTCCCGTCTCTGCGAAGAGGATACTCTGTGCATTACGGACACCCCCGCATTCGTGCGGAGGTTGTATAATGCAAATTGTATAAATTGCACTCTGTGAAGATGTGCCACCTGTTTTTTGGCGGAATGCTGGGCTAGGTGGACTAGGTGGCTAGGTGGGCTAGGTGTGTGTTGCGGTACCTGCAGGTTCCCAAGGGTCCTCTGACCCAGATGGACCCGGTCGCACAAGGACATTAAGACTACATGGGTCGCCGCAGGCGTCACTTTGCCAATTCGCACGCTGTCCGTACCATCTTGCATCCCATTATTGCCAACCTAACGATAATGAAGCGGTGTATGTAGCACTGTCCAAGTAACCCAACGGATATCGTTGTTCAGAGAGGTGGCATCACCAAGGCTAAAACGTCTGATGCTTATTCCTCCCCACAGCCCAAGGGCACATATCGAACTTGCAGTCACAGCTACGGCAGGCCGCTGAGGAGTCGGCACGCAAGGATGCCGCGCTGGAACGGCTCGCAGCGGATGCGGTGAGTGAGATAGGCCGATGCAGCTAAAGGCAGCAAAATGACAAAATGATGTCTAAATTACTGAGCTGTGGGTCTTGCGTGCTACGTCCTGCGTATGGCAATGTGAAACCTGCGTACGGAAACCCCTATCCTGAGCATCTGCATCTTCCACGGCAGGGTCATCCCTTTAGTTCTTCCCCGTCGTCATCACTAAACGCTCATACCACATCTGGCAATTTGTCCGAGTGGGTTACTATACATGGCAAGTGGGTAAGGTGGGCATCAACAGTAAGGGCGCCTGCTGCTGCTGCTGCTAACGCACTTGCGTTACCCACTTGCCTGTAATGGTAACCCAACCAGCTCGTATAGGCCCGTTACACCTTCGTAGGTAACGCAACTCAAGGTGTACGCACGCATACGCACACACAATCGCCAAACAGGCTGCCAAGGACAAAGCCGCCGAAGTGCAAGCGTCGTCGCTACAGGCATCACTACACGCCGCGGTGGCCGACGTAGCAGCATCACGCGGCCACGCCGAGCAGCTGCGTCTGGATCTGGATGCAGAGAGGTAGGAAGAGGAAGCAAAATGCATACTTTCCCCCGTAGTAGTAAGGACGCGCCCAGATGGAGAGCATCAGCTGGCTCGAAGTGACCGTATCATTGTGTGATCTGCACGAGGACGGGGCGCACGTGAAGGTTGCCACGGGGCCCTCAGATCAACCTGATGATTGGAGCACTGACCAAAGGGCGCCTACTCTTTCCCTCGAATGCGATTGTCCGCATAAGGTCGCGCTCTGCGAAGGCGGCTGCGCAGCTCACGGAGCGCTACCAGGAGGCCCAGCAGCGGATCACGGAGCTCGACAAGCACCTGTGTATGGCCCACAACGACCAAAAGGTCGCTCGCGAGCGGATCCAAAACCTAGAATCACAGGCGGAGGTGGGAAGGCGCCGACAAGTATATAGATGTCTTCTTGCCGACCTTGATGTCTCGGTATCATATGGGTCCCATCTGTGCATATGCCTTTCAGTTGTTTTACCTAGTAGTAGTTTGGGTTTCGTGCCATCACATGTTAATAACTCGCTCACTTGAACCCTTGCGCTGGCTTGACAGGCGCTGAACGCGACCGCTTCCGGACTGAACGAGGAGCTTGCCAATCTTCAGGCTGCGTTGGCTGATCGCGCGTCGGAAGTAAAGAACGCAACAGCCGAGGTCTGTCGCAAGGCAGTTTCAACTGGCATGGTGGATGGTCTAGGGGATTGTCCACGCCCGATGCCGCAATGAATTGGATCTTCATATCGACCCTACTTCCTGTGCTAGTTCATCTACGTCCATTCCACGATATGCGTACCTCGGTTGGGTGCCACTGAGTCCTCGTGGTCCAATCCTTTTGTTTTGTCTGCAGGCCGAGCAGTTAGGACATCGCCTGGAAGCCGTGCAGGCGGAGCTCGCAGGTAGGAACGCCGAGGTGCAGCGCTTAATGCAGGAGGGCGTGGAAGCGGCCAGGCGTGCTGAGGAGCTAATCTCGCAGGAGGTGAGCTCGAGGCGTCCATAATGTGAAAACTGGCATATGCAAGGCGTAGCTTAACGAGGGTTTCCCCTTGTCCCTTGTCCCCTTGTGTTAATGAGGGCTAACTGCCCATGTGTATTAAATGCGGCCCACCAGGCGGCTCTGCGCGAGGAGCTGTCAGCTCGTGTCTCTGATGTAGCCCGAGCAGAGGAGGAGTTAGCAGTGGAACGAGAGCGAGCTAGTCTAAAGGAGGTGAGGCAGTGGGCACCTAGGGGAGGCTGCTGACTGGACGAAAACCCTTTCGTCATGTCCCGCAGCAGGCGTCATTATGGGACTATGGTTATGCAGGCAGGGTTCAACGTGGCTGCCCGCTTGCTTCGTGGGGATTCTTGACATGCTGCTCGTCCTTGCTGTTTGGCATCCCGCATAGGATGAGCTGAGCAGTGCGCTGGCCACGGCGCAAGCTACCGCTGCCGCCGAAACGGCTCGCGCGGGCGCGGCAATAGCTGCGGCTGAGCAGCGGCTTCGTGATGCTGAGCGTGCGGCTGAGGCTCGACTGGAGCGATTTAAAGAGCGCACGTCCCGGGAGTACGATGAGATGCGTCGGCGTGTGCGCGCTGAGGCCGAGGCCGAGGCGAAGAGGGTGAGCATGCGATGTGCACGATTTGTGTTTGTAGATCTGACACAAGTGTGCGTGTGTTTTTAGCGAGGCTTGTGGTCGCCCCGTCGCTTCAACAGGTCATTCTTGTTGTTCAACTTGCTTCTCAATTATTACACCTTTGGTTTGGGAGATCGCGTGTTAAAGGAGATTGCAAAACATAATTCCAAATCGCTTTGGTGGGTATATGTGTAGGAATTAGTGCTGTACGTGCGCAGGCATTTCTAAGGATAACGGAGATCGGTTTTTCGTTGCGGCACCGGTATGTTAAGCTGCGGTCGTCCGCTGTTCCGCTCTCTGCTGACCTCGAGAGCTTATGTGATAAGAGTTCCACATTTAATATAAATTTAAACGTTTTTGTGTATTCCATCCCGCTTGCCATGTGTAGCTGGCTGAGGAGCTGAAGAAGGCAACAGCCGCGGTGCAGGCCGCTGAGTCGCTCGCTGCGAATGGAGCCGCGGAGCGCGAGGAGGCATTGCGGACAGAACTTCAGGTGCATTCAGCAGCGTTTCAGTGTCCGTCAGTCTCCGTCCTTACTCCGGAATAACCGTTGCTGTAGCGGTGCAGCATATCGCAGTGGTTACATTTTTGAGGCGATGCCTTTGGCCATTCAACTAAATGCAGGGCTCTTGTTCACCAGCCGCGGTGCAAACCGTTTCTAGTTGTGTTTGCTAAGTTTCGGAAGTCAAATTATTGCTGACCATCGCACATACGCCTAACTGCAGGCGCTGCGAGCTTCCAAGTTGGAGGAGATCTCCGCGCTTAAGGAGCAGGTTGCCGAGGCGAGGAGTAAAGCCCGGGCGCAGGCGCAAGAGAGCAAGGTGGGTCATGTTACTCAGTCGACTCACGCCGGTTCACATTCCTGAAAAGATGGTTCACGGTTGATAATTTTTACACCATGTTGTCACGACGTAATGTGCGCCGCCGACATAGTTAAGATGCCGACGTAGTTATCGCTATTGATGTGTCGATGAGGACGTCTCTGATGTAGTCATCCCCGTAACACCCCCTGTGCCAATATGCGGATGTAGCCATGGCTGCCTGTGTGAGTTCCGCGCAGCTACGTTAAGCAGGCCGAACTGCCTCGCCTTAATTGGCTCCGCAGTGTGCAGGGAGGTGGCCGATTGCTTGTGTTGAGGGTACCTGGGAAGCTGTGGATTGTTGTTGTCTTTGCGCACGTGGCGTGGAAGCCTGCACTGTGGCGTGGAAGCCTGCACTGAGGCCTTTGTGAAGCAGTACGTGTGGGAGTTCAATCACCAGCTCGGCACTGCCCATCTCGCGTGGGAGCCGGGTGGGAGCCATCTGCACTCACGTAGTACGACAGTTGGACCTCGGGTTGGCGTGACGCTGTGTGTGTTTCCTCATGTCCCCAAAGGCACAATACGAGCGCGACTTGGCCGCAGCACTCGCGGCGGCTCAGGAGGAAACAAACGCCCTGCGGATGCAGTTGGAGACCAAGCACCAGAAGGAGCGTGACGAATGGGCAAAGTGAGTAAACTCAGCAACGAGCTATTGCAAGGCGCGTGGGCCCTACAGGAGCGCCGGTGGCGGCCTACACGGCGGGTGTTTCTTGTGCACGGTTGAAAGCACCCGTTTGGTGGTCACACGATTCTGCCACAATGACCACAATTGCACAGTCAGGCCAAGTGCTTTTCAGTGCTGCAGTCGTGTCCTACGCAGTACGATGTGCCTTGTCGTCAACGTCCGGTGTCGTCTTGCCCTACGTTTAGGGAGAGGGAGGCCTTGAACGAGGCTGGGAAGACTGATGCGGAATCCCGCGCGCGGCAAGCTTGTGAAGCTTTGCGTGTAAAGCTCGAGGCCAAGGCCGCGACGTCTCTTAGAGATGCAGCAGCGAAGGCGGACAAGCAGCGGCATGTCCTGGAGGAGGAAATGGAAAGGCTAACGGCGCGCTTGCAGGTGACACTTTGCAGAAGCGTATGCAAGCGTTCTGATCCAGTTATTTAACAGGAGCATCGACAGCTGCGCGAAGCGTGTTTCCTGTGTGTATTACGCACGCAAACGACTTACGTTTGACCACGGCTGCTATGCGGTGTGGCATACAGTACCCAGCTTCGCTGAAGGATGCGCGTCGGCGTTGTCCTTATTGTGACTTGAGGTTCGGTGTGTGCAATAATGAAGCCTTCCAATCTAAATGCAGGAGCTGGAGGACGGCTCCTCGGTGGTTGACAGCGCACTCGTGTCGGCCCGTGAGCGAGCCTCGCACCTTGAGCTGCAGCTGGTAGCTGTCCGTGAGGAGACAGCGGCAGCACGGCTGGATGGTGAAACTGAGCTGAAGCGTCTGCGTTCGCAGCTTGAGCAGCAGCTTGAGCAACAGAACTCAACATTCAAACAGCGTGAGCTGGAGTGGGAGGCGCAGCGGCACCAGCTGGAGGCCGAGGTTGCGAAGTCGGGCGAGGGCTGGGTCGTTAAGGAGGAGGAGCTAAAGCACCAATTGCAGACGCTGCGTGACGAAGTGCGAGATGCGCAGCGGCAACGCGACCAGGAGCGTGTGGAATACCAGCAGCGCGAGGGGGAATTGCTACAGGCGCAGGAGCTTGAGCGGAAGAAGTTACAGGACGCCGCGGATGAGCTGCGCAGTGAGCTCGAGTGGCAATTACGTGATGTGAAGGAGGAGCTGGAGCGGAAGGGACGCGAGCTTGTGCGTGGCGTACATGGCCAGATGGAGCGTGATCTGGAAGCGGAAGCGGAGCACCAGCCAGCAGGCGTTGTAGACGGCAGAGATGTGAAGGCTGTTGGCGGCGGCTGCAGTGCTGAGGCCGACAACACACCGAATGCGAAGGACGATGCCCTTGTGGCCCGCGACGAAATGGGAGCCGATGGGGATGCATGCATGGCCGAGCCACCTACTACAGAAACCGACGGGTGGGAAGCGGAGGGGGTACAGAAAAGAGTGTGACCTGAGTGCCTTCTTGAGGTCGAATAAGAGATTGCTAATGCTCTTTGGCCTGTCCGGGCCGGGGCTGTATTCGGCGTTTTGCATACTCTGCCGTTCACGTGTTCTAGCTTTGCAGACAGCAACACACACACACACCTGTCCTAGCGTGTTGCAGACATCTTTGCGCTTGTCGTACTGAGTCACTTCCCTAATCCCTGTGTCTTTCTGCAGGCAAGAGTACATGCACGTGGCGAAGCCTCTGCATGACGGGGACGGCGACCAGGATGACGTGCCGATGTCCCAGGTCCTCATGCCAGGTTCGCAGCGGCAACCGGCCCGGACATATGATGACAAGGTGAGTTTTATATGTGAAAGGACGTAAAAAGTGCTGCAGGAAGCGCAGGTACTGTTGTTGAAGCACGTTGGAACATGTCGTTTTTGATGTCATATGTAGTCATTCTGTAAGGCCACTGGGCAAGGATACGCACCACATCGTGATGTGTCGTTTGGACAATTCATGCAGGACACGAATGGAGCAGCTAAGAAGGTTGCCGCGACAGGTCCACCCATTTCCTCCAAGCCGCGGGAGAAGGCCATAAATGGCAACGCTCGCACCGCGACTGCTGCGCCGCGTGGAGCTGTGCTGGAAGTAAAACCCGATCAGGTGGCTGGCAGCGGCGGCATGAAGCCGAGGCCACCGCCTAAAGCCATGACTGCCACTGCGGGTCCCAGCAAGCCCAACTGCGCTGCTGGGAAAGATGCAGCGGGAGGTAGCATGCCCAAGCCAAGTGCACCGCGGGGAAAGCCTACGTCTAACGGTGTCGCGGCTGCCGCGCCTCAAGCTTCAGCGAAAGCCGCAACAAAGGGCAAGGGCACTACCGCCGCGGAAGACGGCGGCAACGCTGAGGTTGCAAAGAAAGGCAATGCCAGCCAGGTCGCAGCACCGAGCGCCAGGGAACCCTTGGCACCGCAGATCGGAGGCAACAACGGAAACGTTCCCAGCGGCCCCGATACCAAGGCAAAGGACAAAGGGGCCATGCCGCCGCCGCCGCCTCCGACGGTCAAGGTGCGGTAACTGGGAAATGTACTGGCTGATATGTTGGACCCTCTGCATTCTTTGAATAATTTTGGGGTGCACGCATTTGCGTTCCGGGCCTGTTATGTGATTGCAGCCTCTCTCTGGGGTCTCTATGGTCACGGCTTTTCAACGCTCAGTGTCTCTCCAAAACGTTGAAGGATGGTGTGCTTACGCCCGGTAATCAGTGTTTTTTTTTCATTTAGGGGGGGTCTCAATTTATTCCGACCTAAGTAACAAATTTGCTAGCGTCGCCGTAATGTATTCCTTAAGAGTGGGGCGCTGGGGGGGGCTACGTCCCCCCCAGACCCCCCCCGACAAGTTGGGTAATCAGCTTCATTCAGCTCTGAATCTTCGACCTGCCACACAGCAGTATTCGTTGCAGACATTGGTATGCTTGGCAAATTGTAACGCATGCTCCCGGCGGCTGCTATCCGTTGCTGTCTTACTGACCCCAAGTCCTGATGGCGCTATGCCCTTGGCTTGATGGCCTTTTGATAGCCAGGCTGACCCGTAAACATAAACTTATCAATTGCATTTGTCAGGTATATTGCCGCGCTCAGAACTTAACCCGCTTGATTTGTTTTCTCTTGCCCCTCCGGATGGTATTGTCCATTCTGTGCTGACACGTTCCCAGGTACCGAAGCCCGTCGCCCCGCCGCCGCGCTTTCCAGCTACGCAAACTACCACGACTGTGACGGGGACAACTGGAGCCACGGTGCCTGGGGCTGTGCGAAAAGCGGCTGTCAAGCGACGGGCGTATGGCGAGTTCGCGGACCTCGCGACGGAGAGTGAGGTGGACGAGCCGAGCCAAAGCCAGGACGTCACGGTAACGGGTCATGGAAGCAAGCGACCAAAGGTGAGCACATACCAGGGAGCGTCGGGATTGGCGGATCACATTATGTGGCGGCTTTATGTGAGCTCCGCATGGCCTGTCCCGTGCTACAGCTACACAGCTCGCCCACTCACATCCAAACTTTCGCGATCTGCAGGTTGGCGCCGAGGCTGCCGCCCCAGCACCATCGCAGATGCCTGCAGCCACCAAGGGGGGTCGTTTTTCGCTGTTCAGGGGCATGTCCATGGGCATGTCTGTACAGGTATGTGGCTCTCGCGGCAGCCAAATACCTTTAAAGAGGCATTTCGGAACCTTTCCTGTGACGCTCAGCAGTACTGTACGGAAGTGTTGGGCCATACATGTGTTCTCATGTGATGACGTGCGCGGATGCGTGGGTGAAGGCGCGCATGCCTTTAGTGGAAAGCCAGTGCTTTGGACATAGCAATGTCCTTGGGGGTCCCGGTCAGGGAAGCAGCGTAGCCCTTACCCGAAAGGTGGATTTGGGAGGATAATAAATACAACCGCACGTGTTAGAAAACGACATGGCACATGCGGGCACGCTTTCTCCTGGGCCAAAAAAACAGTCATCTTCTGCATTCGCCTTGCATGGCAGAGTGATTGCTGTTTGTTACCGGCCTGCAGACGACGACCGCTGATGCTGGTGGTGGTGTCGAGGTCAGCTCTGGCCATGGCGACTCGCGGAAGAAGGTGCGAGGATGTCAAAAGATGCCGTACCCGGACGCCCCACCCTACTTGTTACTGCGGTTCGGGGCGCCAAGAACACATTGCCCTTGCTCCAGCTTATCCCCTGCCTCTCAACCACCTCTAGATGGTGGTAAATTATACTCTTCTTTTTGACTGCAGGGCGCGAATAACCCGGTCTCCAAGCGCCGCAAGGCAGCTGAGCCCAGGTCGGACGGGGGTGGCTTTATGGACTTGTTTGCAGGCATGTCACCGTATCCCAAAAAGTAAAGGCAGCCCCGCTGTGGCCCATTCCACGGCATGAGGGGGTTGTCGGCCGTTGCGCGCCGAAGCCTCCTTGGATGGTAATGGCACGTTACAAACGCTACGGCGGCTGCAATGCTGGCGATTGCTGCCTCGTCCCGTACGGCATGCCCACGAAAACAAGGAAGTAAACGGATTGCTGTGAATTGAAGAATAATGCACTGAACCATCCCAAGGCAGGAGAGTGTGCGGTGTAACGCAGACTTATGCCGTTGTGCACCTTATGGGAGACAAATGTTCTGTTGGATCCGTGTTGAGCGCCGTGAGGTGACAGTGGGAAACGGGATGTGCATATGCTCAACCAATAGGAAGTATATTCTGTTAAGATCATTCGCCTAGACAGCTAAAGATATTACAGGACGTGTGCGGCATGTGTGTTGCAGAGGGTTCGCCGGCCGAAGCCCCACGCAGCAGGGATTGCCGAGCTGTGTGCTGGTTAAGGCATCCTAAGAGGCCAGCGGATGCATGGACGTGTGCATGCAGTTCTCGCAAATATAATAAATGACGTGCACATGCTGGCGAAGTGTACGTCATGACAGTGTACATGTGTATTTTCCTGACCGTCCTTTTGAAGCAGCACAACAGCAGCAACGAAGGCGTGGATACCATATGTAAGGGTCTTTCGTGCCACATATCATCGACTACCACAATTACCACCTTCACAATGTACAACGCGGTCGGTCACTTTGTCGCGGAACGACACTTCAAGTCTGGACTACTTAATGTCTGCGCTGCCATATAGTATCTGTCTTAAATCCCTAAGGATAAGGTTTCAGAAACAATTGCACGATGCACCACGACGCCCCACGCAAACGACCAGCTACGCCACGGCTAGCCCCCCAGTTCATGCTTCAATGCTCAGAAGTAAAAACATTCTCGTAACATCGGATTTCACTTGCTCCTCGACTAGGGACATAGGACCATGTATCTACAACCCTGATCGTGTGGGATACAAGCTGTGCGAGATGGCCAAAAAGTAAAGGCAGCCCCGCCTATGAAATCTTATTCCACCTTACCAGGGGCCCACGCCAGAATCCACCAATCACCAATGCATTCACAAGCTGACGACAGCCATGCACCACCTGTGTTCAAGCTCCCGTTAGGGCACCCTCCCATTTCTGGGAAGTTCTTGACATGTCAAACCCTGGTAAGGTTCTTCGCGTTGCATCGAATTAATCCACATAATCCACCTCTTGTGCGGGTCCCCGTCAATTCCTTGCGAGTTTCACTCTTGCGAGCATACTCCCCAGCCGGGAGACTTAACGCGTTAGCTACAGCACTGCTTGCGGCAGCACTTAGTCTCCATAGTTTACAGCTGGAGATGCTGCATTACATAATTGGCATTCCATTTCAATTATAGCTCCGGAGGCGGCTGCTGCGTAGGCAACAGCCCAAAGCGCTTCTTGCAAGTAACTCGTTCCCGGGAGAACTTATCATCCGGTGAGAAGCGTGCAGGGTGAGCAGATTTCGTTGGATTCCCATCTGGGGCAATCTTCTGCACACGCAGAAACATGGGTCGTGCCGGCAGGTTGGCGGCAGGTCGGCGGCCCAAGCCGGCATGAAGAGACAAATCAACTTCAAGGAAGTACAGGAGAAAACATACAACCTAGGAGAAGGCCGAATCACATAATAGGCAAACAGATTACCAACACACGACTAGCGTAAACAAAATGGCCACGATGCAAAAGCCCACCTTGAGCGTGTAAATGCGATCTCCTGACTCGTCCTCGTAGTACATGAGGTACATTGTTAATCAGAGGACTTTCAATTGCTGAGGAAGTGCAAACACGTTTGGATAAGGTATGCTATCAATCAGACGGGTGGCAGGAAACCCAGCCCTAACAGAGGTCTAAGTCGGCATTCAATGAAAATTACAGGAAAAAAGCTTAACACAAGTAAAGTTCCGTACCATGTACGACAAATAATTAAACTGAACTACCCTCTACACCTACTCCTTGCTGGCGGAGGTTTGACAGATGACAAAAACCTCACATTTGCTTCGCTTAGGGCATTAAATTCCAAAAGCTGTCGATTACCTCTAATCCAATAAGAAGTCCTTGACATTGCAACGCGTACTCCAGATCTTCTGCATATCGCATAAAGAGGAAATGGATGTAGAATTGAATCCAAATGGACCAACGGTAGCGATGGCAACTGAAGATACACAGTCAGAGCTCGACAGTGGGCCAACCCCTACTGCTGTGCAACCCATTGGACGGACAGTGCTGTTGCAGGATGCTTTCAATAAAGTGATCCAGTATGGCCTTCAAGACCCTTCCAGAGAGGTCTGAGAATTCGATGGCAGGGGCTTGAGCAACAACTTCCTTCAGGAGTATTGCATGCCGGTGCAGGAATTCAGCGAGTATTTCCCCAAGATGGATACGGAGATAGTGGATGCCCTTTATGAGGTGTACAAGCAGACGCTTGGCCATGTCCGGTCGCATTGCCAGGTGGGGCAGTAATCTTAGTTACCCTCTCGTACAACCCGTGGCTGATTGTGCACCGTCCGTCTCTCGCCTCGGCACCATATAGTACCTCCCTGTGTAATCCGCTATTTGACAGGTTCCAGGTACGAATGTCCATGAATTTCGTTTTACGATGGCCACCACATTCTTGTGGGGACCTGCATGTAGGCGGAGTACGAGATGATTTGCGCTGAATATCGGGTGCCTGACCGGCTGCGCGATCTAGAGGGGTCACACCACAATACAGCAGGACCTATCTCTGAGGACGCAGCCCGCTTAACACCAGGCAGGTAAGCCGGTAGGCCTAAGGCGCCTGTGTTGCGCAGGGCGGTTGGGGACATGCGGTGTTTCTGTGCGCGAACGGAGGGATGAGTGAGAATGGTTGCTGGTTCCATGAGGAGGTGAGGGTTGCAATAAGTTGAGGAAGAGGCGGCGGCGAAAGAGGGGGACGTTTCCGAGCCCCTTCCTCAACATCACCACTACCACCATTACAACCACTGACTACGACGGCAGATGGTGCGGACCAATCAATGATTCCCCTCCGCCCTCCTATCGGTCATAACATCTTGTACCCCTTTCTCCTCCCCCTGCCCCTCTCTCTAGCCTCTGTTTTCGCATCGCAACGTGCGCGTTGGGATAATGCTTGTACGGATATGCGTATCTTTCCCCCCAAGCCCTAACACTAGCACTCCTCTATGCATGACATCAGGAACACCGCAATGTCTTCCGATTTCCAAATTTGGTGGGCAGGCGCCACGGCCGCATGCAGCTGCAGGCAAAGGACGTAGTCGTCTACTGCTTTCTTCAAGGGCCACCTCCATTGCGCCTGTTAGAGCGGTTATTCTTAGTGGGGTTTTCCGCGGCACATTTTCCTGTGTGCGCGTGCTGTAAACATGGTCTGACTGTTTCCTAGGTTCAACATGTTGTGTCAATTTACCGCATTCAATCAAAGCCACTTGACACGCTAGTGATTGGATTTTTGCTGAGGTGAAGCTCATGCCCCCTGTTGCCTGTGAATGTAAACTTGCATATTGACATGCTGACCTGTAGAACTTGCATGAATGCACCGTCTGGTGCGCCTGCCAGCCAAGGACCTTCTGTGGAGGTGGTTCAGCACGCGGAACGCATCGCCCGGCGGCATGCGCTGCTGCAGGAGGCGGCGCACCTGGAAGACACGTTAGAGAAGGTAGTGTGGGGGTTGTACATTTGCTTGGACGCAGCCTTGTTCACTGTAGGGTCTCGAATGGTCGATGTGTGAAGGGTACTGCCTCGCGCGCTTGACGGCCATTTCCGAGCAGTCTCAGAACGAAAGCACGACAATAACGCAGGCCCGCAGGACGGAGAATCGCTTGTCCGCAATGTTGGCAATGCGACAGGAGGCGGTGGAGAAGATTGTGACGACGTATCAGCGCGTGGTCACGGACGTAAAGCAGGTATCCGGGGGCAGTTGGGGGCAGTTGTGCTTGCGCTGCGAAAGCCAAGAGTGGGTCAAATGGGTGATGTGGCTGAGGGCTGGACTCTGGGGACCGTTACAATTGCATCCGCGCTCCTTCAAGCTATGTTTCCAAGTTTCGTCCTGACCCTCAATTGCGAGTGTCACATGTTATCCTCGAGTGAGAGGCGACGCACGTCATTGAGAGTGCACATTTGTGGCCTGCCCTAACACTTCCAGGTTTATGACATCACGCGTGTTTGGCCCAAGGAGGTCTGAGCTTATGGAGCGTTCAACTTAAGGCGACAGCTGCTGTAGTTGGCCTGCACGGCTGTCGGTCATTGCAGAAAGTTGTGCGGATTGGGGGTTGCACGGAATGCGCTGCATGTTTACTGTCATCGGATTCGATGTAGTTCCGATGTCCGTTCCTCGCGACAACCTTGCGCGCGGCGAACAGGCCCTGAAGAGTCTCGCTTTAGGTCTGGCATTTGTGATGATTCAAATGTGGTATTATGGTGAAGTCTATGTCTAGTGGCGCTGCCGGCAAAATGTCTAAATTTGTGATTGCCGTACTTGAGCTTAGGTGAGTCCGGGTACCCGAGTGCTTCAACAACGAGCAGTAGAGCTGGGCTTGCTTATCTGAAACCACAACTGTAACTTGACGTGTTGTTACACATGTCTTTGGCTGAGTGACTGAGCTTTTCTCCGAGATCTCGCGCACTTCTCTCTGCATTTAACCAGGAACAACATTGAAGGACGGAAATATAACTTCTGTAGAACTGTCATTCCCTTTTTGGAGTGTAAGCCTCGTAAGTCGTAAGTAGTTGTTGTAGCCATGGGACAGAACCAGAGTGGGCAAGGCGGAACTGGCGCGCCTAACGACCAGAAGAAGGATCAGGTTTGTCTCGATCTGCGGGATTGTAATTATAATGCTTTGTTGTGTGCAGAAACTTTGCGGCTCTATTAACTGTAATCGAACTGGGTACAGGAAAAGAAAAAGAAATACGAGCCTCCTGCTCCCCCACCACGGGTGGGCAAGAAGCAAAAGAAGCGAGATACGGCCGCAAGTCTCGGGGCTAAGCTGCCAACAGTATACCCGACAGCGAAATGCAAGCTCAGACTCCTAAAGTTGGAACGCATAAAGGACTACCTCTTGATGGAGGAGGAGTTTGTGCAAAATCAGGAGCAGCTGAAGCCCCAGGAGGAGCGAAATGAGGAGGACAGGTCTAAGGTAGGGTCTTACCCACTCTCCACGGACCTCGGCTGCCGGCAAACCTGAGCTTCCCGGCTGCCGGCGAGCCTTCGTATCGCAACCTGTCGGCGGCATAAATCGAGCAGCAAGCGGCATAGTCTGTCACAATACGGGTTCAGTGGTTCTTGTGTTTGCATTGCCAGTTCCTTTGTAACAGTACAGCGTCGCAAACAACCTTGATTGTCTTGTGTATAGAGGCCGGCTCCTGCGACGTGATCACAACAGACATGAAATTGCGCCTCTCTCCCCCGGGTCATCCCCGCAAAGGGTTACCTCCACATAATACTTGCGTGGCTGACATAGCCTCTGTTGTTCATCAGGTCGATGATCTCCGAGGGACACCGCTCAGTGTGGGCACACTGGAAGAGATCATTGACGAGAAGTAAGAGCCATGCTAATATGGGAGCTTGGGGCTCTGGGGGATACGGGCAGGGTCAGAGGGGGTTGTGTGAGAGTCGTCTGGGCTTTGGGCGGTGAAGCTTATGTCAAGGCTGAAATTGGCTTTTTCCATTGGGTTAAGTTACCTGCCTGGGGCAGCCAAGTTGCCATTATGGTTGTTTCGTAAAGGGCCTGTTCCGTGGCTTCTCGTGTGCAGCGCAGCGCAGTCCTCGTGGGAAGAGCCTCGTGTACTGGAGAACTGTGCAGTACTGTGCAGCACCACGCATGATTCTAGGGTGTGGGGTGCATCATCGCGCTGCCGGGATTTCACGTATGGTGGGTGGTTCACGCACCTGAGAGAATCGCCCGCCGAGAAGGTGACTTGCCTGCTGGTGAGCAGATATCCGATTGAGCGGGGGCTGCAAGCGCTCAAATCGGGCCAGGAGCCCAGGTGCTTAGCCTGCTTCCTGCGCGGAAGTGTCCTAAAGGCGCTAAACCGCCGTCACTATCGTCACCCCATTTTGTCTCTCACTGCTTGGCAGCGTGTAGAAGTTTCCTACCGGTTGCGATCATGCCGCCTTTTGACCTCCCGGCTCACATCCAGCTCCCCCAGCGGAAGGAAGGACAGAATTCCGGGTTGCTATTGCGGCACGTCGCTCACATCATTTACCGCCCTGGCTAATTACCCCAAACTCGTCACCCTTCCTGCTCGGGTGCCAGTTGCGGTTGTCACATGTCGCACTATTCACAGCATTCTTCCTTCCCTAGTCCTCCCGCTGCCATGTCCTCTGCGACATGCGGGTCCCATTGTCTCTTCCCTTTCCCGTACCTCACAACGTCACCCCCCTCCCCGGCTCGCCTACTCTCAGCCACGCAATTGTGTCCTCGTCAGTGGGCCCGGAGTACTACGTCTGCATCCTGTCGTTCGTGGATAAGACTCAGTTGGAGCCGGGCTGCTCGGTGCTGCTGCACTATAAAGTAAGGGGGAAAAGGGGACACGCAGGGCGCTATGCAGGGAATGCTCTTCTGGGCCCCCTGGGCCAGGGGCCCAACAGGAACGAAACAACAGGTCGGAATTGGATTCGGAAGGACGTATCGCCTCGAGGATGGTCATTTGCGATGGGTACGTCCATGAAGAGACATGCTGTGAGCTTTCTCACGCGCCGTCGCCTTATGGGAAAATTTTATCAGCAACGGTAACAACGAACGTTTTTCATCCGGAGGGGCTCGTGAGTCAGTGGGCGGGTGCTGCTTGATACCCAACCCGATATGCGAGAAGTGCTTGTGTTTGGGACGCGGGGCGAGATGCAAAGCTGCGTGTAGACCCTAAACGCGTATTCCTTCTTTCATTTGCTCGAGCGAATGTGTCTGGTGATGGACACACAGCTGCAGCACTGCGTCCCTGCGCACTGGATGTCGAGGAACGACTGAGCATGTCACAAGGGGTTTATTGCCGGTTGTGTTTGTATAGGGGTGCGTTGTCCTTGTGTGGTGCTTATCAGCGGTGTCCTTATCAGCGGTCCTGGGCCCGCGCCACGTGATTTGGTTGTCACACCGCATGGCTTGTCCCCGGCCATATCACCGTCCATACTTCTTGGTCCCTAACAGAGCATGTCGGTGGTGGGCATCCTGAGCGACGAGACGGATCCCATGGTATCAGTCATGAAGGTGGGTGGGCTGTGTAGGGGAGAGCTTGGGAAAGCTGTTCCACAGCTGGCAGGCGCGCGTGGTGGCTACAGATACGGATACGGGAGGAAGACTCCGGCCGGGATACTTCAACCTACGGGATGTTTCTACCTCCCAACAAAGGGGAAGTTGTTGGAGCATTTGCGTATCACCGGCAGGTCCAGGTCGCACATTTAGCCAGGTTATGCTCGGCGTACGATCTTCCAATGGGCTTAGGATAATTTTGGTGATTACCCAAGCTGCTGAATTATGGTAACACACATGAGGATATGCCGTAGATACGGGGTCCGACCACGTGGGGTCCGGATAGCTGTTTGTATCGCACGTGGTGCACCGGTGCTGCGGGAGCGGTGTGGCCTCGTGACAAGGACGAGGGAATTCCCGGGAAGTCGTGCGCTGGTGGTTCTATCATCCCCCTGCGTACCTATCTATGCCCGTGCATGCTGCTGCCGCCCTGCCCGGGCCCCGGCACGGCAAGAATTGCCGTTAAGAAAAAACCTCCACTGCGCACAGGACCGCACCAGCTCCTCCACTCGTTTGCAGTCTGGCACCCAAATGCACCCCCTTGCTGGTCATCTTCTCCTTGCAGGTCGAGAAAGCCCCCCTGGAGTCGTACGCTGATGTGGGCGGTTTGGAGGCCCAGATCCAGGAGATCAAGGAGGCGGTGGAGCTGCCACTGACCCACCCGGAGCTGTACGAGGACATCGGGATAAAGCCGCCCAAGGTGGGTGGGGGTGTATAGGGCTGGGGGCAGTAGAGGGCAGTAGTAGTAGTAGTAGCTGAGCGGTGGGTGTCAGTGGCAGGAGCACAAGAAGGTGCTTCGCGGTTGGAGCAAGATGGAGTGATTCAAAGGAGGGGAAGGGGTTCCGTCATCTAAACCCCCTTGCCATCGTACAGAGGGCGCAGTCTCCATCCATGCCCCTGCTCTGATGCCTGATACCATTTGTGTGGTGCTGGTGGTGGTGGTGGCAGACTGCAGACATGTCCGCACTATGTGCACTCCGACGTCACCGTGTTGGGGGTTCGGTCCAGCACCCGTCCCTCTCCTCGCGCGCACCTGTGCCTCCCATCCCGCTCCCATCCAAAGCCCGTTTGGGCTCTATGTGTACCTATTTAACCTCCACCATTGCCACCGGGCCATGAGGCGTACCACCGTCGCGGGTCTCATGTGAAGGTCCAGTGCTGTCTCTCTGCGCTCTCCTTTTTTGACTCCCACCCTATTCCACTGTGATTGTTTGGCACCGCAAGGGAGTCATCTTGTACGGTGACCCTGGCACCGGCAAGACGCTGCTTGCCAAGGCGGTGGCCAACTCCACGTCAGCTACCTTCCTGCGTGTGGTGGGCAGCGAGCTCATACAGAAGTACCTGGGTGACGGGCCAAAGCTGGTGCGGGAGCTGTTCCGAGTCGCGGACGAGCTGGCACCATCCATTGTATTCATTGGTGCGTGGTGGCGTGTAGCGGCGTGGTGGTAATGATTGGGTCTTATTTACGGTTGTGATAAAACTGGGTCTTATTTGCGGTGAGGTTGGTGCGTGAAACGGCCTCCTGATTATGGGCGGCGGCGGCTCAGCGATCGGAGACATGGACGGATGTCAGCCTCAAGGTGCAAGTGGTGACATGACATGCCGTTAATTGCCTGATAGCTCCCAACGCAACCAATTGCAAGGGCAGTGCAACCGGTGGTCTGTTTCCGTCGGAAGGGCGGATGGCATCTTCTTGGCATTGTCAATCCGGGAGCCTAATGGCCACGTATCGTGTTGCAGGTTGCTCCACTCGCCTCCTCCGGGTTCTGCTATACCACACCTGCTTGGGCACACCACGCAGTCAGGCAGGACAGTCAATTCGTGTCATGCAATTTCATGTCTCAAATTCGTCACCCTCCTCCCCCTTCCTTTGGGTCGATGGCTTCACCGCGCCGCACTTCAGCAATTTCGGGCCTTGGGCACCACCTTGGGCAGTTCACGTCCCACTTTCTCGTATTTGTTTCCTCCACCCTCCTGTGGACGCCAGCAGTTTGTCTATTGAGCTTCGCGCACATGATTCCCCCTTTCCCCCAAACACACATCACCACACCTTCCCGGAGCCGTCCGCAAACGCTTTGCTGATATCGTCTGTTTATTCGGTCGGCAATTGTGTCCACGTGAGTACTGGCCCCCTACCCCCTACCCTGTACTGACCTTCCCGCTCTCCCCTCCGCCCAGATGAGATTGATGCCATCGGCACCAAGCGCTATGAAGCCCACAGCGGCGGGGAGCGAGAGATCCAGCGCACCATGTTGGAGCTGCTCAACCAGCTGGATGGCTTCGATTCCATGTCGGATGTGAAGGTGAGTGAGCTGCTGGCCGGGTGAGAAGCCGGTTCTGTGTTGTGTGTCATGTGGTGAAGGTGTGTCCGGAGGAGCTGAGGCGCGATGGGCATTGTGTGTGTGTGTGTGTGTGTCCATCGCCAGTTTGTTCCGTTGTAGCTGCAAATAGTCTCCCATAACGCTGTGCGGAATAAGGATGATACGATTTACTTTCATTAGGCGTTTTCGAGGAGGCTGCCGTCCTTCTCCACTCTCGAGAAAGCCGTTGTCACGTTGGCTATTTGTTGGCTTTCATTGACCATACAGTCGTCAAATGGGTGTTTAAATGGAAACTTCTTCAACGAAATATTCTGAAAGGCAAACCGCAAACACGGCAAACAATTAGAACCTTCGGCAAGCATTTCTTGCTGTAGCAGCCCCATCAAGGGAGATTCGGTAGTTGATTAGATGGGCTTTGTTTCCTGGAGTACCTGGAAGCAATTGGAAGCAAAAGAAGGAAGCACAGCTTTCCTATTGTTGTTGCGTAATAGGTGCCCTCTTGCTTGTGCACACCAGGTTCCTCCAGGTGCGCCTTTCCTCCCTCAATCCCCGGCCTTTCACGTTCTCCCAGCACCTAACCCATTCTCGCAACGCAAGGAGAGAAAACATGGTTTCCCCGGGCCTCTGTTTCCTCTTGTGTCCTCGCGTTTGGGGTCTCCTCCCCCCTTCCAAACCAGAGCCCATCATCGCAATTTCCGCATAGTCTTCCTTCCATCCTTTTGACGCCTTTCTGTTTCCCTTGCCGCGCAGGTGATTATGGCCACCAACCGTATCGAGTCCCTGGACCCCGCGCTCATCCGCCCGGGCCGCATCGACCGCAAGATCGAGTTCCCGCTGCCGGACGCCAAGACCAAGCGCCGCATCTTTGGCATCCACACCGGCCGCATGACGCTATCAGACGACGTCAACCTCGAGGAGTTTGTCATGGCGAAGGTGGGTCGCGTCACTCAGCGATCTCGCTTCCGGTCTGCTGTTCTTATGTTGGGAGGGAGGGATGAGCAGAATATTCCAGCACTCGTCCATTGATCTTCTGCAGCTGTGTCTGGTGTCTAACTGGCGCTGCAGCTGCTGGGGCGACGGCCGGTTCGTATGCGGTTCGTATATGTTCGTACCGCGATGCATGTCGGCACGTACACCGCAGCTAGCACGTCGCTGGAGATTTCCGTTTTTTGTGGGGCATTTGAGCCAGAGAGGAGAATCACAGGCGGTGGTGCTTCTGAACAGCAAAATTTTGCCTTGTTCATGATGTCGTTGCTGTGGACGCAGGACGAGCTGAGCGGTGCGGACATCAAGGCGGTGTGCACGGAGGCAGGACTGCTGGCGCTGCGGGAGAGGCGTATGCGGGTGACTCAGGCGGACTTCCGGAAGGCGAAGGAGAAGGTGCTGTACAAGAAGAAAGAGGGCGTACCGGAGGGTTTGTACATGTAAAATGGTTTATAAAAGGGACGCGGTACTCGCCTCCCTGTCAATTATGTGGTAGGATATATATGCGTGTCGGACTGGTTTATTGTACTCCGGTGTTGTACTAACCCATCGAGCAGAAGAAAATTGCGAATGGGTCGTGGAGCGCGGCGAGCACGAGCACTTGCTGCGATTGGTGCTACAACGGTCGGGTGGAGGCCACTGCTATGCTGGTTTCCTGCTGTGCTGGAGGGGACAATTGCATGTGTACGCGGCCGAGGTTTAATATGTCGATAATCGACAAAGGCTCTGAAGTAGGCTCAGTACGACCGCGGAGACTTCGTTATTGACTTGGTTATTATGTCAGTATCTGCTTAGGCCAGATTTTAGACCAGGTGCGTGTGCAACTTTGGTTTGCCCTCGCGGTGTTGGCTGTTGGATACGAAAAAGTCCAACCTCCAGTCATTGTGTGTCCGACAGCTTAACGGATTAGGGTCTGTAAAATGCAACCGCAGCTGCGCTTCTCACCTGGCATTGCAATTTGCAAAAAAGAACGGCATTGCCTATTAATACCATGGTAAGCAACAAATGTGAAACCAGGTATCCATGACGGGCAGTCAGCTCGCAATTGTACGCCGGTCGAAGCTAAATCTTGACGTCGCTCCGAGACCACAATGCGATAACCTTGAATTTAGACGCCTAATGACGAGATGCTGGAACCCCTACTGCAGCTTAGCGTTTAGGCTTTATGTTTTATCGTCTCAGCTGCCGCCTAGAGCTAAATCTAGTATCTCGTCCAGCAGTTGGAGGGTTGGAGGTTCTATCTGGCAGAACGGTCATCGCGGCATAAAGGAATTACTTCGCCGTGTTCACCGATTTTGTGCTTATCCGATTGCTATTGTCACAGATCCGATGAGAGGTTTTGCAGCCGTTCGATATGACATACGTTCCCTCGTATACTCGCCTGTAGCCTTTCGTATGGAATCGTTCACTTCACATTAGCAGCATTTAGGAAAACGATGGTCAACGTATCGTCATCCACTAGCTCTGAGGCTGACCCCATGGAGGTCGAGCCAGAGTCGACCCTTTCGCCGTCACAGCAACTGCAGCAAATTCCGCTGGGCGTGGCAGATTGCTCAAGTTACGGAAATACTAAGGATGAAGAGGAGGGACAACCGCCGCCTTTGCGTTCGATGAGCTCATTCCGAGCTCGCTTGCGGGCGGGTAGGCGCGACCCTGGCATACCTGCAACACTTTTCCAGTGGGAAACGCGTGGACACTTTTGGTCGGCACTCGATAAAGCTGCGGCGCCGAAGGACCCGTCGCAAGCCCGGACGGGTGTTAGCGGAATGCTCGTCCGCGCATGGCAAAGGACGAAAGTACGCGCGAAGGTGAGCTGGTTCAAAACCGAGTTTCTCCTTAATCTGGACGATGGTGATGTTCAAACACGTGTTATACCTGAGCGATCGAAAGCTGCTCCGAAACTTATGCTTAGTCGTTTTACCGGCTCACGTGACATAGGCTAGGGGTGGAGGTGCAGTATCAGAGAGGCTGCGGGCGCTTGCTGCTTTCTCTTACCCCCAACAGCAGCAGCAGCAAGCGGGGCTTAGGCGATCAGGCGGCAAGGTGCTGATGTAGCCTGGCGGGGTTTAGCTGGCAGAGGTTGAAGGACCCCGTCTATGTGCGTGATCCATCCTCGTGCCCCATCCTCTCGCTGCGGCTCCCATTGAACACAGCAAGGGGGACACGTCTGCACACACACACACACACACACACACACACACACACACACACACACACTGCAAACTGCAAATGCCGTCACAACCCCTCCCCCTTTCCCTCAACCTGGGAGAAGTCAACAACCCCTGAGGACGGTAGTCTTTCTTCCCGCACTCGTCCGTGCTGTACTCGTTCCTGATGTGTTGATGTTTGTCGGGCCGTCGGTTTCACTACCCCTTAGGAACGGCTCCCTCTCCCTCTGCCCCAGATCCAAGTGTGTGTGCTTGTGTGTATGTATGTGTGTGTATGCGGTTCACTGCCTCCCCAGAGACCCGCTCCCGCGCACGGGCCGAAGGTGAAGGCGAAGCTCCCGGTGTCGTACCACCTCCGTGTCGCCCCCCGCCATTGGCCCCTCTGTGTATTGCATGGAGTGCGACCCCACCCCCCACCCCCCACCCCTCACTCCCGTTCCCCCACCCCCTTACTACCCCCTCTACTATCCCGTCCACACCCGCCGCCATGAAACACAGAACACGCTCACCGTGGTGCGCCTCCGTCCCTCGGTGCTTGTGTGGCCGCTGCTGCTGTGTGCCGTGTGTATTGGTGGGGGAATAGTGGGGGTGGAGCTGGGGGCCAAGCACTTTAACGAGCTCAGCAAGGTGAGTGACGTGGTAGAGGTAATGGGGGGGGAAGTGCAGTATGTGTGTATGTATGAATGCGAATATTGTTATCCTAGATGGCAAGTTGGTTGAGTTGGCCTGATGAGTTGGCCTGATGGGGGAGGTGAGGAGCGACCCGCCGCCTGTCCTGACCCACTGCCGGATGTGGACCCCGCGGGGGGAGGAGGGGGGAGATCGGGGAATTACCTGCTAAAGTTACAAGGACGATGAGGGTGCGGTGATTGGGGTAACTACGATGGCTTTCAGAGGCTTTGTACTCGTCCTCCTCCCCCGCCCTTGCCCTCAACTGCTCTTTATGTCCCTCTTGAGCTCCTCTTCCCCCTTCCCTCCCCCCTTCAACAGGACGACGCCTGGGCAGCCGCGGCCGAGGCGGTTAATTCCGTTGATCTGGTTTGGTCCCAGACCGTTGTTGCCCCCCTGACTTCCTTGGAGCTCCACGTGGACATGGTGCCGTACATGAGTCAACTGGGGGGATCTAAGTTTGCAAACATCACCCAGACACTGATGACCGAGGTGTGTACGTGTGTGTGTGCGTCCGTCTGTCTGTCCGTCCGTCTGCCTGCTTGTTTGTTGACCTGTCTGTCTGTCTGTCTGTCTGTCTGGTCAGTCTATTTGTGCTTTGCTGGGGGTGTGCGTCCCCAGGTTCCTTGTTTCTTGACCTGTCTGTCTGTAAGTATGTCAGCACGCGTCTGTGTGTGTATGTTTTCCCGCAGGTGCCCCCCGTGTTGAGGGCGGTGGGGTTGTCGCCCTTCGGCGTCCTGAGGGCGGTCGCGTATCCTCCGAATCCACTGGATCTTGACTCGAATCCAATGGTATCCAGTGGGACGAGATTGGAACTGGGTCAGACGCTCCCTTCCCTGGAGGCCACTGCTGCTGCATCCACCGCCGCATTTCAGGTGTGTGTGCTGTGTGTTCCCCGTACGGAGAGTATATGTTGTGTGTATGTGAACATGTGTTTTTCCTTTGAGCTCTCGCACATAGAGTGTGTGAGTATGTATATATACACAACATACATACATACATACGTACATACATTATTACATACATACATACTACTCATAGGCAGGCGGCTGGCAGAGGTTAAGGCCTGACTTCTGCTCCCGGCCGACCCGGGTTCAAATCCGCCTGCCGACTCCTCGGGTGTTTGAGGAGTGATGAAATGGGAGGTGGCCCCCCATCATATGGACGATGTAGGACGTGATAAAATCAACTTGCGAGCTGACCAGGAACTAAGTTGATGCGCCGTTGATCCGCTAGATTTGGTTGGATGCTGGTGGTGAGTTGCCGAACCCAACGAATACATTCTGAAGTCGGATGGGGTGACGGATTAGGGTGCCCCTCTAGCAGGGGAGAGCAGGGACTGCCCCGGGAAAGGGGGCCGCTGGCGAAGTTAACCACCCTGTAACAACATACTACTCGGGGGCGTACACTCGCCCGGACTGAGCGAGTGATTTAATGAAGGGAACCTCCCTTCACCCTTCTCTCCCATTCCAACTACCCTTCCAACCCCCCTTTTTCCCTTCTCGCCCCTTTCGCTCTGCTTCTCCCCCCCTTCACCCTGCCGTGTCGCTAACCCTGCTATCTCCGAAACCACTTCCCTCCGCAGAATCTCATCCTGGAGCCGTACCTCCCCACCCCCTCTTCCTCCTCTCCCCCCCCGCTGCTGCTGCTGGTCAGCCGGCCGGTGCTCATCAGTCCGGTGCCCCCCCAGCAGGACTGGGGTAACGGTCCGGGGCCGGACGGGAAACCCGTTGCCGACTGCACCGGGCCCTCGTGCTACTACCGCTACGACCCGCAGCAGCAGCAGCAGGGGGGGAGTTCAGCTGGAGGGGCGGGGACGAGGTTGTGGGGGTTCGTGGTGGGCCTTATGGATGTGCGGGTTTTTGCGGCCAAACCGGACGCGGGGCTGCACAGGTTGCGAGAGCTCCGGTACTCGTACAGGTGTGTGTGTGTGTGTGTCGGGGGGGGAAGGCGGGAGGGGGAAGGCGGGAGGGGGAAGGCGGGAGGGGGAAGGCGGGAGGGGGAGGGGGTGAGTGGCGGGGGTATCTTCTGTGTGGTTGTGTGTGTAAGGGGTGCGAGAGGGACGTGAGAGGGTGGTGTATGTTATCAGGTTGAGGGGGAAGGGGGAAAAGGGGGGGGCCCGTGTGACATGGTTTGCAATTTGTGCGTGTATGGGTGTGCTGCGGTGTGGTGCCGTGCCGTGCGGTGCGGTGCGGGGGAGTCGGAGGGGAAAGAAGTGCCCCGAGCTAGGCCGACGTCTCGAAAAATCTATCCCCCCAATCCCGGTCACTACAGGTATTGCCGTACTTACTAGATTAGATTAAGAGGATCATCCCTAGGGGGGGGGGTGCATTCCGGGTGGGGTGGGTGGAGGGGGGTTTCTCGCGGTAGCCCCTCTTACCCCCCCTCCCCGCCTGGC